AAAGTATCTCGAAATGGGAAGCGGAGGGGTGGGGGTGTCTCTTGCATAGCGGAGGGGTGGAGGTGTCTGTTGCATAGCTAAGAACTCATTCTTCTTCATGCCCGTTGTAACCCCAGCCTGCCTCAGCTCGGAAATACTTTGCCTCGATGGTTTCAATGAATTTTCTGCTGTGTCGTTCAGAGTGTTGATTGTTTACCGGCCTCTAAATTGCTCCTCAGATCATAAAGACCTGCCTGATACTTTGCCTGATCATTATATTCTAGACAAGCATTTGATTGTTCTAGGTGACTTCAAAATTGACGTTGACTGGGTAGTGAGTAGGGCCAAAACCGCTCCGCATGTGGGTGTGGTTACCCATTCCTTCCTTCACGTTTCTGGAATTCTTCAGATGTTGTGATCTTGTGCAATATGTAGCCACACACACGCGGAGAAGTCCTTTCTGCATATTATATTATCTAATGTTCCTATTGTCAAAAACGTTTTGGTATTACCGCCTTTTGCAGTTTCTGACCACAGTGTAATAACTTCTGAGACTATGATTCCCTCATCTACGCCATTTAAACTTCCATTGCCACAACTTCGCCAGGGCCGATTATTCTGAGCTATCAAAGCACTTCTCCTCCATAAATTGATGGAGCGTTTTCAATGGGTACACCTCCTGTGATGACATGTACAAAAGATTTTGCCGTGCTATACACGTAGGACTGGCCAAGTATGTGCCCTTCGATTCAAGAATGTGCCACGAACGAATTATCTCGTTATATAAGGAACTTACAGGTTCAGAAAGCACAACTTTACAGTAAGACTCATGATGACGCCTTGGCAAGTCTCCAGTAGAAAAAGTGTGTCGTGAGCTTGATTATCATCTGAGAAAGTTTTAGCAAATAATGAAAGGCGTTCCAGCACTAGGCTCAAAAGAAATGCTATTTTTGCATTGATAAAACATAGGATTAGGTCCCATTCAAGCGTACCGGTACTTTTTGGTGAAAACGGAATCATTTCCTAACTGATGGTCATAAAGCTGAAGCGCTCGCACAGTTCTCTTCATCTGCCTTCTCCACTGACAGAAGAATCAT